AACTAGATGAGTCCGTAATTTATAATCTGTAGTGGTCATTGTGCTCAATTACTTAAGGTACTAGGTTTGTTAATGCTTATTTCATTGAAATCAATATAGTATGGGAAAAATTGAGGAATTTTAGGCCTCTACCTAACTACAATCGTGGAGAATGCAATAATGACTATTTTAAAAAATTTATAGAGATTCATGAAAAGGATTACGTGTTTAAGTTTTTCAATGGACTAAATCATTTGCTTCACAAAAGTCATAGGTTCTACTTATGAAACTCGTTTCCTAAGCTAGATGAAGTCTATAACTTGGCTATGAGAGAAGAATATTAAAGATCTTTTCGGATTGTGAATTAGTCTTTTAATGAAGTCTCTGCTATGGTTGTTTTCTCTAGGAATAAAAGGATAATGGATGTTAGTTGTTCTTATTATGGGAAACTCGATCATAGTAAGGAGAGGTGCTATAGTATTATTGGATTTCCTATAGACTTCAAATTTACTAAAAATAGAGGTTTCAGTAGTATTGCTACTTCTACTAGACATGTTATCCTCACTTCTAATTCGGGTCATAGTCATGCAAGTTCATCATGTTATATCAATAATGCCATCTTTGAACAAGAAGAACTTAGCTCTACACTTACCGATAACTTTCTTTAGCTTGGTCAATCTATATCTCCTAGTATTACTTTTATTCAAGAGCAAGTTTTTAGACTTATAGCTCCTTTAAATGTTCAAGATTCATAGGCTTCATGCTCACAAACTACTAATCAAACCAATTCTTCTATTATATCTCACTTACAACCTATGTCCAATCTTATAGGGAGTATTCGTTGTTATATCTACTTGTTGTCATTCACAAGGCTTTATTTCTTCATTCATTCCTTGTACTTGGATCATTAACATAGGTTCTACTGATGACATATCATGTTCTCTTAAGTATTTTAATTCATTTAAATCTATTTCTAGTATGACGATCCAAATGCCAAACGGTACTAAAGTTGTTGTCACTCATATTGGTTAAGTCCGTTTATCATCCCCTTTCATGATGACTAATGTCCTTTGTGTTTCTTCTTTTTAGTTTAATTTTATCTTAGTCATTAACTTACAACCAATTCTTCCTACAAACTAATATTCTATGGTGATTCTTATATGATTTAAGATAACTCTTCGAGAACAATGATTGGAACTGCTAATCTACAAACATGATTGTTTTTATTTCAATTTGTTAAAGCTTGTCTTTTTTTTTCTATTAAACACACTTATATTGCTTACATAGTCAATGATAGATTTATGTATCATTCTATTTTTAATTTATGATATTGTAGATTGGGTCATGTTTCACATGATAGACTATATTTGTTTAGTTACGGTAATTTTATCATTCAATATAATAATAATACTCCTTGTTTTGTTTATCCTTTAGCAAAACAAAAGAGATTATCATTTTTCATTCATAATAAAAATACAAGTTTTCCTTTTGAGTTGATTCATGTGGACATTTAGGGATCATATTCTGTTGCTTCTCTTAGTGGTTTTCATTATTTTCTCACATCGGTTGATGATTTCACTAGAGTTACATGAGTGTTTTTACTTAGACACAAGTCATATGTCTTATCCATCATAAACCCATCCTACCAAATGATCCTTACTTAGTTTCAATATCCCATCAAAACAATCAAGTCTAACAATGGTCTTAAATTTCATCTTCCCATTTTTATGCTTTTAAAGGCATTATTCATCAACTTTTTTATGTAGGTACTCCTTAGCAGAATGCTATTATTGAAAAAAAAAAGCACCAATATTTGTTTAATGAAGCCAAATCACTTCTTTTTCAAGCATCTTAACCTCTGAAATTCTAGGGATGTAATTCTTACAACTCGTATATTTGATCAACATAATTCCATCCCTTTTTTTAGATAATTCAACACCTTATGAAGTATTGTTCAAGACACATCTCTTTATGATCATTTAAATATTTTTAGATCTTTGTGTTTTGTTTATACTCTTGTTCATCATTGTAAAAAAGTCCATCTTAGAGCCGCTCCTTGTGTATTTCTTGGTTATCTTTCTAGCATTAAAGCTTATAGAGTTTTTGATCTTCTCTCCCATAAGGTTTTGGTTTCTAAAAATATCATTTTTCATGAAACTATGTTTCCCTTCTCTCCTTCCATTTCCTCTTCTTCTTCATTTCCTTATAACTTGTCTTTAGTGTCTCATTCTTCCTTTACATCTAATTTTTTTGATTTTATAAATATTCAACCTTCTTATTCTATCTTTGCCATAGATGTTCCTCTTCCACTCACTCGATATTCCTCCTAAATCTTTCCATATAGATTCCATTTATGAATCTTTTCCTTCGATTCTTTTCTTGTTTTTCTTAAAGGGTCTTCCCCTATAAACATTGTTCCTTTTTCATCTCATAAATCTTCTCATTTAACCATTATTTCATCTCCATTACCTCTAAAAAAATCTACTCAATCCACTAAGCTTTTTGCATACTTAGAAACTTATACCCAATATCTCCCTTCCCAACTTATTTCTCATAGCAATCTCACATATTCCACTCATTATCCTGTTTGTCATCACTTATCTACTTTTTAACTTTCTCCTTCACATGCCGCATTCTCTATTGCCTTAACACATGCCTTTGAACCTAACACTTACTCACAGATCGTGTGAAATTTAAACATTGGAAAGAATTATGAATGATGAATTACTAGCTTTTGAAGAAAACAATACCCGGTTTGTGGTTCTTTTACTTGTAGATCATAATATAATGGGTTGTAAATGGGTTTACAAGGTTAAATTCAAGGCTGATGGTACTATTAAAAATATAAGGCTAGATTTGTGACCAAAGGATATAATCAAATTGAAGGGTTTGATTTTCAAGAGACATTTAGTCTTGTTGCCAAACATATCACGGTTCGATTGTGTCTCACCTTGATTGCCATTAAAGGTTAGTACCCCTCTTAATTGGATATTAATTTGGATGAGATAGTGTTTATGGATTTGCCTACTGGTTATAAGCTTAAGGGAGAGTATGGGGATAGTTTATATAAACTGGACAACTCATAGAAGATGGTTTGCAAGCTATATAAATCCTCGTATGGTTTGAAACAAGCTTCTAGGCAATGAATGTTAAGGAATAGCTTACCGTAACTTTGGTTGAATATGGTTTTCAACAATCTAAGACAGATTATTCCTCATTTACAATGCACTCTTCTTCACACAATTGTCTTGTTTTATTGGTTTATGTGGATGACATTGTGATAACTCGTCCGTTTTAATAATGATATAGCTGATCTTAAATAGTTTATTGGCAAAAAATTCAAACTTAAGGATCTTAGTCCACTTAAGTATTCTTAGGCATTGAAGTTGCACGGTCATAGTTAGACATTGTTATTTATTAGAGAAGGTATCACATACTTTAAAACATATTCCGAATGATTCTACCGAGTATAGACAAGTTAGTGGGAAGGCTTCGTATTTAACTTTCGGTAGACTCGACATCTATTATGCGGTTCATGTGGTTGCTCAATTTATGGATAAACCATCTTTAATCTATTTACAAGTTGCTCATAGAGTTATTAGATATCGAAAGGTTGCTTTAAGACAAAGGTTGTTATTTTCGATCAAGTCTTCACTACAATTAAGATTCTTCTCGAATGATTGGGTCGATTGTTCTTAAACTAGAAAGTTAGTTTTTGAATTTTGTATATTGTTGGAAAATTCTTTGATTAGCTGCAAATCTAAGAAAACATAGTTTGGAGGTTCATAATAGCACATAAGTAAAATATGTGCAATGATAATCGTTACATGTACAATCATGTGGCTCTTGTTCTTATTGCAAGATTTAGACATCGCACACCTTATGCTAATATTACTATTCCGTAATAATCAATCTACTTTGCATTTTTCATAGTTTATCATGAAACAACCAAAGACATTGAAGTTAATTGCCACTTCATTCATGAGAAAGTTCTTTCTAATGTTATTCAACCTCATTTTATGTTCACTGATCAATAGATTGTTGATATTTTTATCAAGGTTGTACAACTTGAAACTTTTCATAGTTTTATTAGCAAAATAAGTATGAATAATATCCATACTCATTTTAAGAGGGAGTAACAAATTATAAATACCACACTTATGTATTAGTGATTATTAAGTTAATCGGAGAAAAGATAGTAAAGACTAGTTATATTTTTACCTTTAGTTAGCTTAGTATAAATATTGTTAATTGAGTATAATATACTCAAATCAGTTACATATACAACAACTTTACCAAATTTCATCTCTCTCTCGTTTTCCTTTCTCTCTCAACTGTTCATGGAAGCTAACACTGAAAGTGTGCTATTATATGTGTAAATGATATATATATATATATATATACACATATGCTGGATCAAACTCTGAGTCAGGTTTGACAACTATGCTTGAAAATAATTGTATTACCATCTATGTACATTTTTAATGTTATCCAAGCAATACGTAAGAGTTACGGTCTGGTGTTATTAAAGGCAAAGTAACTATTCAACCAGTATTTTGACGTTTGATCATATCATCGGACAGAAAGAGAAAGGATACATTAGATTTGGGTAATATATGCGAGAAAAAGAGTGTCAAGAAGAGGGAATTAACGGTGTGGATTCATTAGTGGGTATCTTGAACAGACTCTTGACTAATAACAAGGACAAATAAGAAAAACCTTGGTCTACTGTTCTGCTTTATAAAATTGAATTTACCCATTATTCAATTCACAAAAAGTCTTCATCTTTTTCTCATAAAGTCTCCTTTTTGAAAATCTTAGTGAGTCGCCATGTTTCTCCTTGATCTCCAGCTACTATACACTTATAAATAATAATCTCTTTCTTCTCCTATCCCGGCCCTAACACCTGTGTGTCTATATATATATATATATAACGTTATCATTGCCATTATTACCAAGGAGATACAAGAAAAGGAAGCTATAGCCTATAGCAGTAAACTTTAACATAAAAAGCAACAATCATGGGCAGAGCTCCTTGCTGTGACAAAGCCAAAGTGAAGAAAGGTCCATGGTCTCCGGAGGAAGATGCCAAACTCAAGGCCTATATTGAGGAGCATGGAACCGGTGGCAATTGGATTGCCTTGCCACAAAAGATAGGTAATTAGTATGTATATATATAGCTTGTTAATTTGCCTCTAATTAGATAAACAAATTAAGGTATTGGTTCGATGGCTTGAATCGAGTTGTATTTTGCAGGCCTGAAGAGGTGCGGCAAGAGTTGTCGACTTAGATGGTTGAATTATCTCCGTCCAAACATTAAACATGGAGGGTTCTCGGAGGAAGAAGATAACATTATTTGCAGTCTCTATATAAGTATTGGAAGCAGGTAAGAAACTAGTTAATTTTTCAACCATCTCTAAAAATAGTGCATTTTTTATATACCATATATGCACATATATATCTCATTCTTAACAATCCTTTGTTTATCTAATGACACAGGTGGTCTATTATTGCTGCTCAGTTACCTGGAAGAACCGATAATGATATCAAGAACTACTGGAACACAAGGCTCAAGAAGAAGCTTTTAGGCAAACAGCGGAAAGAACAAGCAGCTCGGCGAGCTAGCCTCAAGCAAGAAATCATGATAAAGAGAGAAATAAATGATAGCTTCATGGTTCCTGGTGCTACTATCCCTCATCAACAAACCCCTTACTGGCCAGAGCTACCAGCTGTAATCATGAATCCAAGCCAAGATTCTCATTTAATGGATCAAGAATCCATCAGGAACTTGCTGATCAAACTAGGTGGAAGATTTTCTGACGATATTCGAGAATCAAACATATTCACTGCCATCAATAATTACCCTCTCGATGGCTCATGCAGACAAGATCAAGTATTATATACAAACTCCATAGGTATGCTTTCTTCTCCGGCACCCATGAGATCAATGGATAGTACCTGTTGTTCTCAATTTCCCAATAGCAACTATAACGGTCCAAATATGTGTCAAGCCGGACTTGACAATTTATTGGTGGAGCTAGGTGAATTGGCCTGTAGCAACCCACAACATTTAGAAGGCTTGGATAGTTTGTATGGGATGGACATGGCCAGTGGCAGCACTGGGGCTAGTTCTGCAGAAAGTACCAGTTGGGGAAATATGAGCTCTCTTGGTTATCCTCAGCTTGTTTCTGACTATGAAACTTGCTTGCAAAGCGTGCCACAAGATTCACCTTTTGAAGATTCAAGCTGCTTCAGGCCACAATGACAATGTTAGCTGTACAAACCAGTTTGTCCAGTAAATATAGGAATTTGGAGTCTGGAATTCAGGAAACCTAAAGAATTTAATCTTGTCAAGAGAATTGTTTGTTTGTTTTGTCACTTCCACTTTCATTTCGTCCACTTCATCTTTTTCCGGTTTAATATTAATGATAAGCAGTTAATTTCTTTTTTAAGTCTGAAGTACCTGGCCCATTTTCGTTACTTTTGCTGGCGTGATTGCCACAGGACAATCATCCATTGGTGATTGGGTTCAGTCCAGGTTCATTTTACTCACTGAGAACGCCAGAGATCAATGGAGTTTAAGACTAGTGCAGCTGCTGTGTTCTCTAATGTTTCTTAATTAATTGCAATGCAAAAAGTAGAATTAATTAATTAATTGCATCTGTCAGAAAGTTTCAAGTTGTTCATGGAATGGCATGCAGTAGTAAAAGTGGGAATATTTGCTTTGATGTTTCGATAATGATTTGCTCGGCTCTAGCTAAGTAGGGCATCAAAAGTGGCTGCACTCTTTTATTGTTATCTTCATGTCTGAAACACAGCAAGAGGTTTGTGAAGGCACATGCATGTTATCTTTCCAACTCAACTCATGTAGTTCCAACTACAACTGCCAAAGCACCAAACTATTTCTATACATATAATGTTACTGTATGTTAAGTAAGTTACTGGGTTCTTGGTTGCATCATGTATGGTCAACCGACAACCAACACATCAAATGTTAAGGGTTTCTTCCTTTTCTTTTTCGATGATCAGGGTATTCTAGAGTCGGTTTGCGCGTTATCAATTATTAAGTCTTTCTTCAGACGATCTTAAAAACATATTTTTTTATATCGGTCTAATTTATTGAAAAGAAGTTAATTAAAAGTTAATAAATAGAGCAAACCACTATCACCGCGTTAAAAGTTAAAAAATAGAGCAACCACTACCACCGCATCAAATTATATATAGTAACTAAATTATGTATGTTAGTAACTATTTTCGAAAACTATCGTTAATTTTGGTATAAATTATAAATTACTTCTAGTTTTGTAAAATGAATTAAATATTTTCTTTAATTTTAAAACTAATTATTTAATTATTCGATCAGTATTGATCTTATTATTTTAATAATTATGAGTTGTGGGTCGATAGTAATTTGGAATCTTAGATTCATGAGGTCTCATGCTACACTCCTAATGTACTCGCTATGATTTTTTTTTATAAAAATTGATCAATTTATTAAAAATAAAAGAGCGAGTAAGAAAGCGGCTAAAATAGGAGTTTAGAATACAATAAAGTAGACAAACTAAATGGCAATCTTTCTAAAAAAAAAAAAACAAAAAAAAAAAACAAAAAAAAACAAAAAAAAACAGCAAAACTAGACTCAATAATAAAAAAAGATGAACTACTTGTTCAATGAGCCCAAATGACGGGTTCTTGAAGAGTTAATCCACCTTTTGATTTTATTTAAGCTAAGTAGAAGATCATTTTTGGAATAAACAAAATGATCATCAATAAATCTAGCTCAATGTGTTACTATATAAAAAACCAATGAAAGAATGTTGTCCTAATCGAAGTGGTGTCGTTAAATATAAGATCATTCCGCATTAGTCGGATCGACCATAAACTTGAATAGAGAATAAGAAACTAGACTTTTTTATGCATGTGCCCATGAACATAAAAACTCCATTGCTAAAAAAGATCATCCACGAGATACGGAGACAGTCCATGAACAACCCCACTAGTAAAAGATTTTAAACCACAACCGCCAAACCTCGAGTCAATAGAGAAAGAGATGAGACATTGTTTTCTAATATTCATTGCAAAAAGAACATAAGCTAGCTGAATACTCCACTAGACCAATATGGGAAAGAAAATCGCTTGTTTGTAATTTACAATGAGCTACTAATTAGATAAATCTTCTACTTTTAGGGGAGTTAAGCTTTTCCAAACATAAGAAACTATAGGCGAGTCTTTATGTAGCAAAATCAAATCTAAGATTAAAGAGCAAGACTTGATAGTATACAAGCCTTTTGTGTCATAAGCCCAAATCGTCTTATCATTAACACCTTGATTCAAGTGAATATTTGAAATTAAATGTTATAGCCTTTCTACTTCTTGAATCTCCTAATCACGAAGCTCCATTCTCTAGCTGAATTTCCAAAAGCAGATCCAAACCACGCTACTTTCCCATATCCGGAACTTTGCAATCTTTGTCAATAACTAACATGTATAGACTTGGAAAAGTTGAGCTAAAATTTATGCTACCTACTCATGCATTTTTTTCAAAACATGATGGATCTACCCATTGCCGACACTAAATTAAAGCCCCGCTTTGATAACATAACTGCAAGGAGTTGATCTTGAGTAAATTGAATAGAAATATTTCCAATAAGAAGATAAATTACCCGTAAAATAAGGGAGGCCATTCCCATACGTTGCTTGATATTTCGAAGGATGAATTTTTTCCATCATAAAGAGTTACTACCACTAAGTCTCCATATCCACTTGAAAAACGAGGCCATATTCTTTCCTCTTACTAAACCAAAAACCACGCCACCCTTTCTTTTTGGTCTTGCCACCATATGCTAAGCCACCTTGTAAACCTTTCGATTGTTTGAAGCTCCACTCCATAAGAAATGTTGTTACATAGAAATAAACTTTTTTGCCACACCTTTAGGCATTCTAAATAGAGAAAGATAATATAAAGGAGTACTTGAGAGAACTCATTTAATGAGATAAATTCTTCCATCTAAAGCTAATACATTTCCTTTCCATGATAAGAGGCTATTTCAAAAACCTTATCTAGCATAGGCTTCCAAGTACGGATACGCCTTGGACAAGCTCCTAGAGGTAATCCAAGGTAATTGAAGGGAGAGAGAACCTGATTTGCACCTTCATTAGGCAACCATATTAGTACACACGACTTCATTAATATTTATGCCTATAAGAAAACTATTATAGTAGTTGACTTTTAACCCTAAGCATAACTCAAGCCATCTTAAAATCCTCTTAACATTCATCAAATTATCATAATTATTCGAAAAAAGATGATTGTGTCATCAACATATTGCAAGTGGCTAATAAACATATTACCTCCTAAGTCAATGCCATTAAAAATACCTTGATTTATAGCTCTATAAAGCAAGATCGAAAGACCTTCCGTAGAAATGCTAAAATGAAAAGTTGAGAGAGGGTTTCCTTGATGAATCCCATTTGCCATGTCAAATTCAACAGTAGAAGATGACCTATTAATCCAAAATGTCATTCTAGTTATAAACATTCACATCTTGATCCAACTTCGCCAATTTTGACCAAAACCCATATACTCCGAATCCGAATAACATAGTCTCATAGCACATATTCAAAAGCTTTTTAGAAATCAATCTTGAAAATGAACAAGTTTCCTCTTTTTTATGCTATGAACCACCTCATTTGTAATGAAGAAGCCATATAGAATTTATCTGCTAGATATAAAAGTTGATCGGTAATCACTCACTAATGCATTCATAAGTTTTCAAAGTCTTAGGGACAAAAGCCTTTACAATTATCTTATAAAGACCATTGACTAAAATGATGAGTCTAAAATTAGAAAAGGAACTCGCCTTTTTGATTTTTGGAATTAGAGTAACAAAAGAATTATTAATACCTTTTAGCATGTGTTCGGTTCTAAAAAATTTAGAGACCATGGAAAAAATATCTTTACCAATCAAACTCCAAGCTCTTTTATAGAAGTTGAAGTTATACCTATCATGACCTAGAGCTTTAGAGCCATCACAACTCCATATTGCTTCTCTAACCTCTCCAAAAGAGATCATTTTCTCTATATCAACTCGTTGACCTTAAACTTAACTTCTTGAAACCATTAGCCCCTAGTACTAGTCGATCCCAATAGACATTGGCAAATAAATTGGAGAAAAACCTCATTGCCTCGGTTTTGATAATATCAAGCTTTGAGTAAGATATCCCATCAACGAGTTATTTATGCTAATTTATTTGTTTTTTCTTGTGATTGAAGCGAGTCACATGAAAGAATTTTGTATTTCTATCACCCAATTTGCACTAATTAACTCTAGATTTCAGCCTCCATAAAGACTTAATATTTCGCTAACGATCCACAGTTGAGATTGAGAGTTTCGAGTTCATCTATTTTTAAGGTTGATAGAAACTAAAACTCCTTTAATTATTATAAAGAATTGATTTTTGTTTCCAAGTCTTTTAGCTGCTGTTCCAAATTCCCAAAGATTAAATAATTCCATTTTTTCAATTTCAATCGAAGCAAACTCAATTTCTTTATAACTGCGAAGCAATTTAGCTCGGTCTCACAACCCTACATGCTCTTTAAAGACTCATGAAAAAAGAGGATAAGACCACTAACAATCAAGAAAGTGAAAAGGATTCCAATCCCACTTAATGGATTTAGGACAAAAAAAAAAATAAAATTAGATAACCCTCAGAGAGACCAATAAGTTTTAAATCTACAAAGTTGAAAGACCATTGAGAGCTAGTAAATGCACAATCAATATGACTTATTGAGCCACCTCTAAACCAAGTGTATCTTCGACCGAGTTAGAGGAAGCTTAATAAGATTACATAAGGTCAAGAAGAAATAAAAGGATCTAGCACCACTCCTATTCATCCACCCACTACTTCTATCACCGGCTTGTAAGGCCTCATTGAAATCATCGATCAACAACCATAGTATATCAAAAGCAAATTTCAATAATGAAAGCTCCTTTCATAAAGTTTCATATTCGACAAATCATAATCCGTATAAACAAAAACAACCACACATTCAAAATTTGAAGCTATAAAACACCCAAATGAGCAATCTAACGAGCACTATATTCTACATTTGACATCCTAAAGGATGTGTTATTCCAAATAACCAGCATTTTACCTAAATTTCCTTCGGAATTGATACATTTTCATGTAATATCTTGACCACTCTACAAGTTGCTAACTAAAGAATTATGACTAATATAGGTTTGTCTCTAGTAGGTAGAATAC